CAATTAAATGAAGGTACTACCCTGTTTCCTCGTATAAATAAAAAATTATAGATGATGAAGTCGAGGAAATGTAGCGTCTTGGTGTCATTGTCAGCGATCTAATAGCCCTTGGTCAAGGCCCGTGTGCTTAGTTAGGAAAAGGGATGGAAAATTCAAATTCTGCATTGATTTTTGTAAACTCGGTCTTCAAACAAAAAAAGAGGTCTATCCAATTCCCTACATAATCTTCTATTTTTTATCATGGTCTACTTGATTTCTATCGCATATCGTAATATCATCTAAATATGCATAGACATCTTCAAAATTCTCTGATTTTATCATGTAGTCTATTACCCGCTGAAAACATGCAACTCCGTTTGTCACACCATTCTTCGGAACTGATATAATCTGCCTCATAAGCAGTATCCTGCTTTTTGTCGTCAAGTATGGGAACTTGGTGATACGCACTTTGTAAATCTATAAATCGATCACCATCCTTTTTTTGTGCGTTTCATTTTTCGTTACCAGAACCTGTGCTCGCTAAAGAGAGTTGCTCTCTTCTATAATTTTACTAGCTGACCCGGCGAACTTCGTACCGCCTCTGAATAATTATTAAATATACCTATTAAATGTTGTGTTAACGTATCTATTAGCTGAATTAAATTCAGTTTTTTTTGATGGTGAATTTGGCTTTGGTTGAAGAAAATTAATGTTTACTCTCTGGATCAGAAGTCACCTAAAATTAAAATTTTACATCATCCTTTTTTAGGCAGCTTGTGGGCATTATTCTTGTAAAGTGTACCACCAAATAAATAAACTCAGTCACAGGAATGTTCAAAGAATGTAAAGAAAACAAAAAAAATCTCTAGCGTAGCCCTATTTCACTCTATTTGCACTGCATGCACTGCACTACTCCATCTGTTCTACTCTATTTGCACTACTCTATCTGATCTACTCTTTTTGCACCACTCTATCTGATCGGAATAGTGGAATAATTCTGTTCGAAATAGCTCCAGTTCCTGAGCAGCATTGTTCTACTGTATCTGCAATGCCGAGCTTCGTTCCAGGTATCAGAGATGGCGCGGTATACAAAATACAAAACAAACTTGGTATCGGTTATACGAGATTGTGCAGTATGCGGGCTTAGTAAATTTTTTTCATAAATAAATAAAATAAGTAATGAAATGACCACATTAATGACATAACAACATGCTGGTACTGTCAAAGCTGAAAAAAGTTTCAATTTGTCAGCATAATTATTGAATAATTCATTTATTACAAAAAATGTGATAAATGAAGAACCGCTGGACCGATTTTGTGCAAACTTCACATAAACCATCTAATAAATAGTCCGAACAAAGCCTAAACATTTGGTTTGGCTAGGTGAGCCCGTTCTTGAGTTATAAAATTACAACGAAAAATGGCATTAATTTTTATATATATATAGATTTAAAACAAGGTTTCTTATTTCAATAAAAATAAAGTGTCTATCTTCTGGTCCAGATTTTGTTGCAATTGGCCTGCAATCTGCTGATAGATTTGAAAATAATGTAGAAGAATCAATTTTTAGGAACGCCAAACTAAAAATCGATGATGAGACTATAGGGCTGTTACCACATTGAGTTAATAGTTGGGATTTTTTGCAAAACCAATTATCAGAGTAATTTAAGGAAATTCCTAGGATTTGTTATATAGGGTCCTTTTTGAGAAAGCAAATCTTTTGTATCTTTCTCTGAATTTATTCGAACTGGAAATTTTCAGAATTCATTGAAGAGAATTTGAAGTAAATTACTGTAAAATATCAAGCAGATTGAAATCGAATTGACAATTGCTTCAAGAAGGAAATTTTTAAAATCTCTCCTAAAAGTGGAATCCAGTGTAGCTCTTGGAAATTTCCAGGATTTATTGCAAAGGGTTTGAGGTGAACAAAAGTAAAATTTCAAGCCGATTTTTTTCACAATATCAATAAGTTTTTAATGGTCCATCTTTGATTTACTCAGAAAGGAATCAGAACAGCTACAGTAGAATTTCTTGTGAATTGAATCAATATGTTCAAAGTTGAGATTTTTTTTGAAAAGGCAAACAGAGTCTCGATCGAGGGGTAAATCATTTATGGAAATCACTGTTCAAATTGCTGGAAATACTTTAGGAATACCTAGGAATACTTGGTAAAGCGCTGGGAATACCTAGAATTACTTGGAAATATTCTGGAAGTACATGGCAATATTTTGGAAATACATGGAAGCAGTTGTAAATTTTGTTGGATCGTTTCTAATGAAAAAGGTGACAGAGTGTTACAAGTCAGAGGTGCACAAACGGGTAAAACATATACTAAACCAACTTATCAAACAGACAAAATATCTGATCAATCTGCAAAATCTGAGGCAAAATCCCTAAGAAAAAATATTAAAAAAAGACTACTACCAGACACTGATAAATTAAGTAAGATTAGTATTTCACAAATGGAAGTTTATTAATCAACAATCAATAAGTTTTAAGTTATTCTAATAGTGGTGCCTCTGTCTTAATTTTCTTACAAATTATTCAAAGTAGCTTTTGGAAATGTCCAGGGTTCATTGTAGAAAGTTTGAAGTGCAACAACAGTAGAGAATTGGGATTTTCTTCTCTCATTGATGTTTCAAATTGAAAAAATCAGGTACATATACAGGGTGTCACAAAAGGTTTGTTACAAACTTCTAGGGATGGTAGATCTCGTAAAAATAAAACTTTTTTCTTAATAAATATGTGTCCGGAAATGCTTCGTTTTCCAGATATACAGGGTGGCCCAAATTTGAGCTTCATCATTGGGATCTCGGTAACGGTAAGAGATACGGGGTCGGTTAAATTATGGCAAAGTTGCGCTATTTTATGAACAATAGAATACCGTTTTGAAACTAGAAAGATTCCAAATACTTCCGGAGATATTCGGAAAAAACCGAAATTTTGTGAAATCGTTTTTATTTTTTCCCGGGCTTATTTGAAAAGCAATTTTAAAATAAATGTCACTTCATCATTGTCACTTTTTCCCCGTTAGAAGATGGTGCTACTAAATTTAAAATTCGACGTTTCGTCTTCAGGCAGCCATCCCCAACTTCCTTTTTTTAAATACGGACCTGGATTTTTTTATTTGCGATTTTGTCATCTTTGGGCATCCTAAAACCGATACTGTTTATAATTTTTCAATAATACGGTAAAAAAGCAGGTCCGTATTTGAAAAAAATTGATGATGATTCCAGAGGACCGAAACGTTGGATTTCAAATTTAATACTGCCATCTTGTAAAGAAGAGAAAGTGCGACAATGGGAAAAATTATAAACAGTATCGGTTTTAGGATGCGCAAAGATGACAAAATCGCAAATAAAAAATTCAGGTCCGTATTTAAAAAAAGGAAGTTGAGGATGACCGCCTGAAGACGAAACGTCGAATTTTAAATTTAGTAGCACCATCTTCTAAAGGGGAAAAAGTGATAATGATGAAGTGACATTTATTTTAAAATTGCTTTTTAAATAAGCCCGGGAAAAAATAAAAATGATTTTACAAAATTTTGGTTTTTTCCGAATATCTCCGGAAGTATTCGGAATCTTTCTAGTTTCAAAACGGCATTCCATTGGTCATAAAATTTCGCAACTTTGCCATAATTTAACCGACCCCGTATCTCTTACGGTTACCGAGATCCCAATGATGAGGCTGAAATTTGGGCCACCCTGTATATCTGGAAAACGAAGTATTTCCGGACACATGTTTATTAAAAAAAAAGTTTTATTTTTACGAGATCTACCATCCCTAGAAGTTTGTCACAAACCTTTCGTGACACCCTGTATAGATTGAAATTTTAAATAGTTTTGTAGAGAATTTAATTGGCTTCAATTAGAGCTCAATTACGTTGAAATCGGATGAAAATTAAAGGAGCTGTGAGCCAAAAACAGTCTCAGTGTCATTTTTGGAAAATTTTCAATATTTGATAATTTCACTTTTGAAGCTTCTCAGCTGCAAAACTGTTGGAACTAAATTGGAATTTTAACTAATATGTTTGTAGAGAATTTAATTGGCTTTAATTGGAGCCTAATTGCGTTGAAATCGGATGAAAATTAAAGGAGCTGCGTGAGCTAAAAACTGTCTCAGTATCATTTTTGAGAAATTTTCAATGTTCGATAAATTCAATTTTGAAGCTTCTTAGCAGCGAAACTATTGGAACAAATATACAATTTTGTCTAATTAAGTATTTAAACACAAAAACACAAAAACTATGACAATAATTTGCGAAAATCCAATTGAAATTTTCAAGAATCCTGTGCCAATCCTGTCACATTTTGTCATTTTTCTTGAAAACAATAGCTCTGTTCTGATACACATGAGAACCATTCCAAAACCAGTAATTTCCAATTGCCAATCTATTTTTCAATAAGTTGAACGTTTATCCTACTTGACAAATGAAATTGATCGATTGGAAATTACCGTTCTAGAACGGTTCTCATATTTGTTGGAACAGAGCTAATATATCTAATGAGAAAATTTCAAGAGACATAAAGATTTTTAAATTGAATGGGCCTTCCAATTGAATCATATTCGAATATGCAACTTAAAGTTTTGAAGCTCCAAAGACCAAAAAAAAGTGTCTTAAGGGAGTTTTGAAGAATCTTTGAACAAATTGTTGAATTATTATTTCAGGAGGACACCCTGTATTGTTTTTTAATAATTTCTTCTAATATTGCAGACTACGATTAGACAGCAGGTAGACAATATTTATCACTTAATATTATAATATCAAAGCAGGTGAATTTGAATTTGAAAACAAAAACTTGATATTAAATTTCCGCTACATAAAAATGATGATTTTGAGTAGAATGTTCCAATTGTACAGAGTGGTCTATTTAAATTGAGACAATCTAACATCCAGAAAATTGCTCATAGACTCAAGTATGGACCACCCTGTATAATTACAGCAAATTCTGGCAAAATCCATAGACATCAATCAACCCCAAAACAAGGACACAAAATATAAAATAAATATCGAAACTAACCGGCACAGGACACTTGTTGCCGCCCTCGCAATTCATCCCTCCGCCGCCGTTGGCACCGTTCGGGCAATTTTGCGCTCCGGAATCCTCCGGATCCACGAAATTCTCCGGCCTTGGCAAAGGCCACGTGTTGGAACGGGCCCTAGTTTGGGGCTCGAAACCGTCCACCTCCGCCAACGGTTCCATTATGTTCAAGTTCATTTTGGCTAAGGGACTATAGCCTGAATACAAACCGTTCATATGTTTGTCCCTATTTTATTTATTTTTTTGTCCGAAATATTTTGTTCCAAGGAAAAAAAGGACACTTTTTTCTTTTTTTTTTAAAAAAACACTTCAACAATAAGTCATAATTATTGGTACACTGTTACACTATTTTAATGTCCGGTAAAAGTTTTTTGTGACAATATTTTTAGCCGCACGGAACGTCACACCACAACACACCGAAACTTCAAAATACCATCATCATAATTAACATCAACATCTTGCCATGTTGAAACTTAAAATGAATTAATTTAAAAAATTTAAAAAAAAAAATTAAACTCGTTCTCTCAATAGTTTTAGTTGATGACGCAGTGTTTAAAACTCGCGCGCCCGAAAGGTTACTACGTATTAAAAAATACTACGTACGTAGACGATCGTATAGACGAAAATGCTGTGGCGCTGCGCTGCTCGCTGGGTGCTGAGCGATTGCTGGCTGAGCTCTCGCCGTATACAAAAATCCTTCCATCACGAGCAAAACGCGTTGGCGGCTGCGGCTCCCGGTGCGCAAGTCGCTGGCGAGTTTGGCGCCACGGAGGCAGCCACAGCCAGCGAGGTTTCGGGCCATCGGCTGCGGCACACGGTGGACGGATTGCGTAATTTAATTTTTTCTCTTAATTAAATCGACGCACCACCGGCGGAATTTGATGGATCGTGTTCGTAAAGACCGAAACGTCGGAGGTTCTTGGTACACTCATTCTACCTTAGTACTAAAAATATTCTGAAATTTAAAGCCGGAATCTATGAAAAAGACACTCAGAAGATAGAAAAATTGACAAATTTACTCTGCGATTTTATTTCTGGAACTATGTGCCCAAATGAGCTGAAATTTTCAAGATTGTAGTCCTCTACTGGAATAAGAATCGCTGAAAATTTCAGCTTTCTATCTCTAATAAAAAAAAAGTTATGATTTTTCAAAGTTTTCCAAAATCTAAATAGGTATTTTACTACTAAAGCAATAAAATTTCAAAAAAAAAAAATTGTTGAGATTTTGTATCCTAATGGTCCTTTGGAATCCCCCGAACTCCATACACTAAATTATTCCGAGATTTGGAGGCGGATTCTTTGAAAAAAGGCACTCAGAAAAACTGATAAATCACCCCAAATTGTTAAACACGATTTTATTTCTAAAACTATAAATCCAAATGAGCTGAAATTTTCAGGAATTGTAGTCCTCTACTGAAATAAAAATCGTTGAAAATCTCAGATTTTTATCTCTGATAGAAAAAAAGTTATGGCCTCTCAAAGTTTTTCAAAATCTAAATCATTACTATCTACTAAAACTATGGAATTTCAATTTTTTTTTTTCTAATGATTCTTCGGGATTCCCCGAACTCCATGCACTTAATTATTCCGAGATTTGAAGCAGGATTGAAGAAAGCACTCAGAAAAAAGACACTCAGAAAAATAATTGAAAAATTGATAAATCACCCCAAATTGCTCAACCCGATTTTATTTCTGAAGCTATAATTCCAAATGAGCTGAAATTTTCAGAAATTGTAGTCTTCTACTGGAATAAGAATCGCTGAAAATTTTTACTTAGGACTTGAGTCATTCAAAATTTGAAAAAAATAAATCAGAAAACGTGAAAAAATTATGTTAACAAATGTAAATTTGTTAATTTCTCCTTAAAATTTTCTTACTGATTTTTCCTGCAGAAAAATCCATTAAACATTTGAGTTAGGTTTTCTTATATCTGTCCATTTTAAACTGATTGTTCCACAGGGTGATTTTTTACGTTGCAGAAATCAGTAATAAGAATTACGAAAGTTTCTCATATTGCGATAGTATAATATATTAAATAGTATATATTATTAATCAAGATTATAATGTAGTATGTAGCAGTAGTAGCCAAGCAGCAAGCTAACTTAATGGTAAATTTATAAACACAGGACTAATAAATAAATTAGGTGGTTTCAGCTCCCTCGCCCCTCGTGTGTTCCATGTAGAATTAAATCTTTTTACAGATTCAAATTATTTCAGAAATATTTAAATTGTTTTAAAAAGATTTAAATCATTTTAAGAAGATTTTTGGAAAGGATCCCGCACAAAACTTACGGAAAATGTGTTTATGTCAAATCGTCTGATTTTTTGATATTGTGTCAAGCTCGATATCCTGAATAAAAGTTATCATTGCGCCAAAGCCCAATAATGAACAGTTTTTGAAATAAACGCCCTTTTGTACTCTCACAAATATAGGTAAATCTTATAGACAATGACATCAAAAAATTAATTACCTACAGGTGAAAAATGCGCTGAAGCGTTTTCATTTTTTTAGAATCGGAATTGAACTGTATTGACAGCGTTTGACAGATAAAAATAGATAGGTGAATTCCAAATAGTTCAGGTTTTCCCCACACCTTCCGCAACCGTAAATTGTTTTATAGTTTGATCCATTTTTCTTCCGATTCATAAAGTCTTTTTGATCATGGCAATGAGGAATATATTGCACTGTTTCATATGTCCTGCGGCACTTCCTCCCCGATTAATGGTGCGTCTTGTTGGAGATGAAAATGCCGATAAGTGTGCCATAGCTCAACAAAGGCGTCTAGCAAACATCAGGCCTATCATAGAAATCAATGAACTCACAAGAATTTGTGCCAGCTGCAACAGATCCATTATTAGGGAAATAAATGCTCTTCAGCGAGATCCCGCTTGTTTGCGGCTCAATGTTTTGACGCAAAGTTCAAGCCATTCGTGTCTCATTTGCAACTCACCAAATGAACCCCGATTATCTACCGAGGCCAGGGTGAATATCTTCCTTAATAGGGACATATATGTTCCAGAATATGTCAAAAGTTGTGCTCACCATTTGAACGGAAACGGTTTTCTTCTGCAAAGACTTCTGCCAGGTTTGAGATTTGATCGCTATTGATCGCGCCGCATTTATTGAAACTCATGTACCTCCCTTTGCGAATATACTTTACAATGAGAATCCGGGCACCCCGAGAGTTATTGCATATATTGATGGCACGTATTCCTATGTTCCCAAAAGCTCCAACTTCCAGACCCTGCGACAAACGTTTTCGATTCACAAAGGTCGTCATCTTGTGAAACCTACACTGATAGTAGCACCAGACGGGTATATTCTGGCAATACAAGGTCCCTATTTTGCCGACTCGCGAAATAATGATGCGGCTGTCCTACGAAATGAGTTTGAACGTGATGCCGAAAACATGAGGGAATGGTTCCAGAACGGCGACATTATTGTGCTTGATAGAGGGTATAGGGATTCAATCCCACTATTACAGGCGCTTGGCATCCAATATCGTATGCCTCGTGGTGTGGAACGTGGACAACGCCAGTTGTCTACTGAGGATGCAAATGAATCCCGGTTGGTTACCAAAACCCGCTGGATTGTAGAAGCGCGAAATGGACACATTAAAAGCGTGTTCAAGTTTTTCAGCCAGACAATAAGCCTTCAGCATATACCACATTTAGGAGATTTTTACCGGATTGCGGGAGCTATAATTAATAGGTACCATCCCCTTATAGAAATGAATGGCTGCAATGCTGAGCTGGCTCAATCCATGTTGGAAAAAGCCGGTGAGGTTAATGTGGTTAAAGCTCGAGTTGAACAATTTGGTCTGCAAGCGAGAAATGCTGCTTGGAAACGGCTGAATGACGGACAATTGGTGGACTTTCCGCAATTGAATATCGAGTATTTAAAAGATTTCACATTTGGTGTGTACCAAGTAACCCTAGCGCCGTCGTATATACAGGAAAAATTGCGACGAGATGGCGATGATGAATTGCAGGTAGATCAACTCGACCCAGAACCGGGATTTATTCGGACCCGAATTTATTCCCGCTTCAGAAATGCTACTAAGTACCAAATATGGATTACTTATAGAACCGTTTAGGAACTACAGCAACATCCTGAACAAGTGGAAGAAGCAATTTTGGGACATTACTGCACTTGCAAATCTGGTGCAAGGACATTGGGTTGTTGTAGCCATATTGCAAGCTTGTTATGGTATTTGGGTTATGCGCGACATCAACCCAATGTGCACTATCCCCCAACAATCCTACTAGAAACGGTTATGGATGTTGGAAATCGACATCAGCCATAGTAATAATAATCAAAAACAAAGTAAGTCAGCTCCATTTTTCCATTTTGATTATTGAAGATACTCATATAAACAAAAATTGTGACTACCAATGAAATAGTGTTTTTTTGCTAGTCCAAAGCATTCTCCTGGAAGACCCCAAAGCAACAGTGTTTTGATTCCATTTATCACCGCATTTTTTCACCTGTAGGTAATTAATTTTTTGATGTCATTGTCTATAAGATTTACCTATATTTGTGAGAGTACAGAAGGGCGTTTTATTTCAAAAACTGTTCATTATTGGGCTTTGGCGCAATGATAACTTTTATTCAGGATATCGAGCTTGACACACTATCAAAAAATCAGACGATTTGACATAAACACATTTTCCGTAAGTTTTGTGCGGGGTCCTTTCAAATTTTTTTTTTGTTGTGATTTTGTGTCCTAATGGTCCTTTGGGATCCTCCGAGCTCGATTCACTAAATTATTCCGAGATTTGGAGCAGGATTCTATGAAAAAAGGCACTCAGAAAAATTGGAAAATTGATAAATCACCCCAAATTGCTTAACAGGATTTTATTTCTGGAACTATAAGTCCAAATGAGCTGAAAATTTCGGCTCAGTAGACCTGCCCCCCCCCCCCCCCCCCCCCCCCCCCCAGTTGATAATTTTTATCCAAAACGCTAGCCCTCGTTCTCCAGAGCTAGCGCAACCTAGCGCAACTTTTTCGAAAGCTAGCGCAGCTACAGGTCAAAAAATATGTGGCTTTATATTCGGGGGGGGGGGGGGGGGGGGGGCTAGGGTGACGCTAGCCCCTCCCAGTTATTCGATCTTCTCAAAAATGCTGGCGCACATTCGTAACACCTAGCGCAGCCTAGCGCAAGTTGTGTCATAGCTAGCGCAGCTATCGTAGCTGTCATACAGGGTGGACAAA